AAATTCACTATAGCTCTATAGCGAAGTTGAAGTTCAGGACATAAAATTCGTTATATCAAGGGTTGACTGTACCTTGTGAATATATTACATTCACACGATTACCACAACACCTTTCAATTTTAAAGATTTTTATAGACATTTATTTCGATGATTTTGGTACTTATAGAAACGTGTATCATTCCTTAGGTGAGGTGTATTTACAGTTCAGAAATATGCCACTAACATTTCGAAAACAGTTAAAAAACCATTTTTTAATAGGATATGTTCCATTTGGAGCAAATTTTGATGATTTTATTGAACCGGTTCTTCAGGATATAAAGAGCTTGGAAAAAGGTCTTATTATGAGAACTTTGAATGGTAATGCATTTGTTATAGGTGGTATTGCATTACTGCTGACTTGCCACAAGGCAATGACTTAGCGGATGTAAAAAGACATAATGCTAAATACAGATGCCGAACATGTAATGTTCCAAATGATCAATATACTAGTATTGATTATAACTATATAAAAAATGCTCACTTTCACCAGCAAACTGAAGAACGGTTTTTGGAAATCGCTAGACAAAATTCAAAGATAAGAAAAGAACGATTGGCAGCTGAATATGGTTTAGCAAAATCAGGACCGTTTAAAATACTTAAATTGGACCGACACCTTCAAACACCACATGACGCATATCACTCTATGGCTGGAAAGGCACATACTCTACTGGAAGCGACATTTAATGTGTTTAATACGAATGGTGAAAATTCTTTTATAAAGTATTGGAAACAGATCGAAAAGCCTACATATTGGTATCAAATGCCTAATCCATTATGACATCGTCAGAGTTTTATGTTCTCTGATGTGTTAAGGCTTGCGATGATAATACCATTCATACTTAGATGCTTTTTAAAACCTTATCATATAAAGGCGGAGACTTTGAATAATTGGCTTATAACATTTGGGATAAGACAAAATTCGGCAATATCAAAATTATGTATGTGTTGGGCAATTGAAGCTAAGGTACTAAAACTTGTATTCTCAATTACTATGACAGAAAATATTTACCAAAAATTGCAGGAATATCTTAAAAGAGAACATGATATGCTTATACAGGTTAGTGAACGAAATTGAAGGTTTCAGCTACA